GGATCGTACTTTGTGGCATTCTATAGGTAGTACCAGTAGTAGTTGTGGTATCAAAGGGAAATGCTCGTTGGTGAAGGAAAGTATCTTGAGGAAACCCGTGTGTATTTTATGTACATTTTAACACTTATTATTCTTTTAATTTTATGAATTATGTAGTTTGTTTCTACCTTATTATTAGTATTGAATAATGAATTATACTTAAAAATAATAGAAATAGTAAACTTTATATTTTCTTAACAATTTAGCTTCCCCTCTATGAAAACTGTCAAACATTTCAACTCATTCATAGTGGCGTCATACTAGTGGCGCAAAAACTTAAGCCCCACATTGCATAACCCCCCTCCCCACATAACTATCTTAGAAATTAGAAGGTTCTTGTACTAAGCAGTAGCATAATATAGTCTGTAACTTTTTGTCAAAAGAAAAGAGTACTTAGGAAAAGGGGCAAATCTTTTAAAAAGCTTAGTAGAAACTAGAGCGTACTCTATTAACACTGTAATTTACTGCTTGTGGTGTACTTTAATACTTTTACTAAAGTGTTAAAACTTGCTTAAATTACGTTTTCTAAAGTCAGTAATAAGGTTACGGAAATCTTTTAAATTATTAGGAATAAAAAATTAAATTCTCGAGACCTGATTTCTAGCCAGCTAGTCATCTGCGAAGATGACTAGCTGGCTAGAAATCTAAAATATATATAATCTAAAATATACGAAAGCTCTGTGCTTTCGTATATTTTAGATTATATATATTTTAGATTAGCGCTCTTTATTCCCTTATTTTCATAGTTTGATGGGACGGCAAGCCGACACAACCGGATAGATCAGGACCAGTGGTTTCACGGCCTTACAAAGGTACGGAGGTGAAACTTCGCAAATTTTCTGACTCAAGGCGGCTACTGAGAATTTTTTGACTTAAAGATATTAATAGTTACTTTGCAACCAACCAACCAACCGCTAATTTGGCGGTTAGCCGCCGTAGAGTCAACATCATCTGAAGATGCCTCGTGTAGAGGCGAAACACGTGTCGTATTATCGTCGATGGTGTGTCTTTCCTAGAATAGTGGTGTTGGGAGTAGTGTTACTGGGATTGGTGGTGACGGGATTAGTGCACGCAATTGAGGGGGGCCGGAAGGTGCTCTTCAAACTGGGGAAGACACATCATTTTATTTAATTTAGCAGATGGATGCAAAGTAACTATTAATATCTTTCTTATAATGGATTTCCGCAAAGTAACGAATGCTTCTATCAATTAATTTCTTGACTGATAAACTCAATAGTTTTTTTTAGCCCGACTTGCATTTTTTATCCGGGAGCTCATGACCAATAGTCACGGTTACCACCACTAGACCAAAGAGGTAGTTATTTTTTACAAGACTGATGTGAAAAGTGGTATTGCTACTGCTTTACACTACTAATATTGTTCCGTAGGGAAATTGAACCCGTGGTCCACAGCATTATAATCAAACATTTAACCACTGTGCAATCAAGTCTTCGTCTTAGTAGTGATGTCATTATTTCTACTGGCTCAAACCTCTTTTACAGAGTTGTAGTCTTAGTAGTGATGATGAATATTTCCGCTGAATGGCTAAAAGTCTCTTTCTACAGAAGTGGGAGCGCCAAACTAGCACATATTCCACCTGATTGTAAATGGACGCTGTACCCCATAGACATCTACATCTATCGTTGATTAAGAATCAAAAAGCAGCATTCGCTTTCAGTAAAAAAGATCACCTGGTCTCTATAGGCACCATAAGCAGCATTAGATTGCTATTTTATCCTGATATTCTGTGAGAACGTTGTCCTTTCCCGGTTAGGCCGACCTATTCGTATTACAACTATAATACAGCTGCAGCGTGGTTGTATTACGTCTATGTACTCTGCATTCGTTCTTTAGTCATAACTTCAAAACTTTTTTGCACCTAGCGCTATTCAGTATATTATTTTCCACATATAAACATTTTATTTTTAGCTCCGTCACCAAGATTCAATATATGTAGTTGCGAGGAAACATGTTGCGCAATGTTCCGAGACAAATAAAAGATATGCACAGGATGTGAACGCAATTTCTATGCGCCACAAGCAACATCAACTTAGGCGAATTTATATTCATGTGTATGCCAACTAGCATTCGAAATATTCTAGTTTGGTTTTATTTACCGTTACCGCTACAGCCTCTTGAAGGCCAATGCTGAACATAGACCTCCCCCATAGACTGACTCATTGAGGGGATATATGCCATAGTTGCTACGCTTGGCAAGGTTTGGCAACCCAATTTTTTTAGACGTTATTAGAATCACGCTTCCGTCCATCTCCTGACATAATTCCATTTTTCGCCTTTTGCGACACCCACGGGATGATATAGGGTAGTGAATATTTATAGACGGTTTATTTTATTCACAAAACATTAATTAATATTATCCATTATACCCCAATATAATAATATAGGTACATATTATATCAATATGATACGTAGGACACTCAATAATTTTTGAGATATACAAAAAGTATTCTAGATACTATTACTATTTATTTTATAACTTTTCAAAATATTCTCCATCATGCTCTATACAAAGTTCCATTCGCCTAAACCAACTCTGAAAACACTTTTGGTAGTCTTGATCTGAAAGTTTGGAGATCGCTTCTTTGTAGGCAGCCACGGCTTCTTCGGCGTTGGAAAAAAACTTGCCTTTCATTTTTTCTTTGACTCTTGGGAACAAAAAGAAATCTCAAGGAACTAAATCATGGCAGTAGGGTGGGTGATTTAGATTTTCAATACCAGATTCCTCAATATATGCTTTTGTTCTAAGGGAGGTATGTGAAGATGCATTATCGTAATGCAGCATGATTCCCCGAAGTCCGGTCTTTGGTCGTCTCTCCCGCATAGCTTAAAAAGCTTTGGGTAATGCAACTGTAGTATACCATTCAGAGTTGACTTGACTACAATTTTCCAGCATTGACGTCGACAAATATCCGCTCCGCGAAAAAATTAGCCACCATTTTTTTATTGCCGACGTTGCGATGTCTTTGCAGTTTTGTTAGTAACTTTCCTTCTGAGTTGACCCATACCGATGATTTCCTTTTATTTTCGGAATCATATTGATGATGAGATCCATGTCTCGTCACCAGTAACGATTTCGGAAACATGCCTAGCCCTCAATCCACTAAGTGAAATTTGCTAACGTAAACAGCTTCTATGAGTCCACTGGACTCATATATTTTCTTAGCGTGGTTTTCTCAAATAAAACACTTTTTTATATTTTTTTTTATTATTATTCTTAAATATTAAATAAGGCACTAGAAAAAAGCAACAAAACTGAATAAACTTCTCAAATCCTCTTAAAAATTAAAGAAACTTTGTTCTAACAGTTTCAAAAACAAAGGTATTTTTAGACCTCTACAAAAATAACAAATATCCTTAACAAATATATCTTTTTATCTTTATAAGCCTTTCATAGGTATACAAAACAAAAATAATGGAACAAAAATGTATGCTTCTATACAAAAATAAAAAACGTGCAATGTTTCTTGCCACCGCTTACAGGCAACGACGGCATACCTTTTTTTGAGCAACTCAAACATTCAGGCTTCAGACATTTGGTGCATAAATGTGCAGTTTTTGTTCTCTTTTTGTAGTGACATAGATAACAATATTTTCTTTAAGGCCTGGGTAACTTGTCTTCAGTTTCAGAGTGGCTTGCATCTTCAGGAATGTCTTTTTTCAAGATATATGAAATCGAACTACGAATTTGGTTTGGCAAACGTGTACTGTGCAAACGTGTCATCAAATTACTTTGATTTAGGTTTTCTGCGATGCTTTTGAGAAAATCCAATCTTCTCAGCTTTGGTACATCACTTTGGCTTCCATAGATGACTTGCGCATTGCAACATGCCATATCAACAATCCTGAAGAACACAGCCATAGGCCAACGCGTCGTCCTTCTACTGCACGAGTACACCGAACATTTTTGGTCAACCATATCAACACCTCCTTTGGTTGAATTGTAATACATAATTACTTCAGGTTTTCCAGTATTGCTGTCAATTGTATGATCATGGTGCATGGAAGAGTATAGCACAACAGCCTTATTTTTTTTGGGGCATAGCTTACAAGAGTACACTCTTTGGTAAATCCAAACACGGAAGATTCAACAGGCCTGTCTTTGTGCGGGAGAAATTTTTTTTAGCGTACCTACTATTGTCAAGCCTCTTTTCTTCAATTCTTGAAGTAATTCCATTGAGGAATACCAGTTGTGGTAACATTAATGTTTGTGTAGAAAATAGGTTGACACAAGCGGAGCGTGGCCTGTGTCGATACCGATTTCTTTTTCTCTTCTTCAGTCAAACCAAATCTATCGGGACCTCTACCGGTGTATTTAAATAGATGTTGTAAACATAAAATTTTTCAGAATCTACTAAGCGCTGCATCTTTAAACCATATTTCCCGGCTTATTAGTCATATACATATTGAATCTTGATCGTCCTCTAAATTCTATGAGCATTTCATCGACGGTCGCGTTAGTGCCCATCGAATGATTGTTTTGACTGTTTTTAACAAACGTCTGTAATATGTCAGTGATAAGACAAGCATGATGAAATTGCCTCCGGATGTCACGATCAGAAGTATTATCAAAGCGAAGCGCCAATAGCAATGCCAAAAATCTGTTTTTAGACATAGATGCTCTGAATATTTCACGCCCAGTGCTGTCAGTTGCGAATAATGATAGAATTCTTTCCCTGTTAGATTTGAAAATAGCGGAATAATAAGCAAAGCCAGAAACCCTTTCAATTCGATAAGGCCAGTCTGTCTAAAGGCAAAATCTTTTGGGTGTTTCGTTTAAAATTCCGCTAGTTTTTTATTTGTATGAATCAAAGCGATGTTTAACATTCTTTGATCAAATATTAGCTGGAACGCAACAATTGGAGAAAGAGGTCCTTCAGCTGTAGGCCTTACTCTAGGAATTTTAACCACGTATGTACTTTTCGGGCTGGAGGTAATCGTGATTACTTGTACCGATTTTTCCCGTAGTAGTAGTTTTGATTTTGCGCGGGTATCGATTGGTCGTCATCACTCTCGTCAGATAAATTTTCTTGAGCTGGCGAACTAGTGCGCAATCTGCGAGATAGCTCCAATAGCGGTAAGTTGCTCTCACTCGATGGCTCACAATCATCGGTCGCAGGTGCCTCAGGTTGCTTCTCATTACCAGATTCCGAATCATTGTTGTGTTCACTGTAAATGAACTCACCACCTTCCCTATCCGAGTTGTGTATGTCGTCATTTGTGGGCATCATGACACCGTGTGACTGGCCAGCATCTTCATCGTCAGTCTCTTCATTAATAATTTGTGTGATCCATGATTCCACAACAGAATCCGCATGGTCTTCATTCATATTTACAACTTTATGTGGTTTTAGATCCATTTTACAAACCTACAATGAAAGAAATTAATATATATATATATATATATATATATATATATATATATATATATATATATATATATATATGTTTTTATATAAACAATACGACAAATATGCAACGTTTGAGAATCGTAACAATTAAATAAAAATATTAACATAATTCACTAGTATGAGTCCATGGGACTCACTCGACTTGATAACTCACCAACTACCACAGGTGCACGTCCTCTCGCTACCGCGGTACCGGCGACACTATAGGAAGATACTAAGGCGGGGGGAGGAAACCAGTCGCTAGAGCAAAAATTTATAACGGTTTAAAATTTCGAAGTGAGTCCAATGGACTCAGGTAGTGAATTAAGGGCTAGATGCCCGGTTTTCAAAACGTAGACGCATTTCATGGCACCGATCCACACGAGTGTGTTTTTCGCTTTCGGAAAGCAAACGAGGGATCCATTGACAACAAAGCCTCCTCACTCCAATATGTTGATGTAGGATGGCGGGAATGTTGCCCAAACTAATGCCTACAATATTTTCGATGTCTATCGATGATATATACTCGTTTGTCACCATTTTCTAAAAAAAATTACTAATGATTAAAAATATTTATCTCAATCTATGTATCGAGGAAATACGACATTTAATATATTATATTCTCACCAGGTGCCCATTACCTTACAAAATGTATTGCAAATGATGAGCATAATTTGCCTCACTCACGCGTACTTTTGAATATTATTTATTATATGAACGACCACTTTTGAATATTTTCTATGACGGTGGAACTTTATACTGACAAGCGCAGCGTTAGGTGACCTTCCACTATATGGAATGACGACCCAATGTAACATGCAGGTAGCCAAAGGCAGGCGCAGGTGCAGGTGGCTCAATACAGTACTTACAACTTTCAGCAGTGGACATGTGATGGACTGTATTGAATACCTACAATACATTTTTTTTTGTTTTTTGGAATAATTCATTACTACCTGTGACTACCTCCTTATATTAAGAAAAACCTGTGTCCAGCAGTGGTTTTCAACAGACTGATGATGATGAAGAAGAAAATAATGGCTTTGTTTGAAGTTTGTTGATTTTTTCAAAAACCGTACTAGCTACTTATTACCAAGCGGACTGTTATGTTGATAGCATTACGTAGGTCACTCAACAAATTTTGAGATGCTCGAAATTTTAAAATGGAACGCACCCATGTTATATGTTTCTAAACAGCAAATTTATTTAAAAATAGATCTCTATAAGCCAATTGTTCAATATTTAAAAAAAAACAAAGCTCTATTAATTTTCTTGCAACGCTTCCCGCGCTTTTCATTTAAAACGATGGATCTTAACCGTGAATATTTGCGCGCTATGATCTATTATGATTTTAAATTTGGTTTAACCGAACAATTAAGTTTGCAACAGTTACAATCAACATTAGGTGACTCAGCTCCATCACGCGCAACAATTTTTAGGTGGTATACTGAATTCAAAAGGGGTAAAATTAACCTTAAATATGACCAAAGAACCGGGGCCCCTCAAACAGCAGTAACGGTAGAAAATGTACGGACTAGTGAAATGTTGGTGAATATATCAAATATGCGGACACCGAAAATATTGTAGGCATTAGTTTGGGCAGCATTCCCGCCATCCTACATCAACATATTGGAGTGAGGAAGCTTTTTTGTCAATGGATCCCTCGTGAATTAAAATTATTCGGAGCTAGAGGGTAATTCACAATCATCGTGCAAATCAGAGTTCCGTTGATACCACCGCGCACCGGTGGCTTTTCGGATGAAAAAGGTTTGGACTCTTTGGAGTTTTAAAATGTGGAGCTTATAAGTGTGGGCGAAAGCTACACTTGCGTAAGACATAATAGGTGTAACGCAGGTTTTATACAGTCGGAGTTTGTGTATTAGCGACAGCTTACTCTTGCTGTTAACGAGAGGGTGTAGACGGCCAATGACTGACTTGGATCTGTTGCGTACTACATTTGTATGCGTCGCAAAACTCATACGAGAGTCGAACGTGATGCCTAGATATTAGGCCGATTTTCCCCAAGGGATTGGGCGGTCGTATAGAGAAATCGTTTTTGGTTTAAAACCTGCTGTTGAATTCCATTGAAAGTATACTGCTACACTATTTTCGGGATTCACGTCAATTCTTCATTGGCGGAAACATTCACCTAGGCGATTGGTGGCTTTTTGGAGCTTTAAAGAGAGGCTATTTTTGTTGTATTCTGAGACATAGAGTGCTGTATCGTCGGCGAAGAGTGCGGTGTTCACCACGGGGTCTTTAGGGATATCACTCGTGAAGAGTGTGAAGAGGAGTGGAGACAAGATGGAGCCTTGTGGTACCCCGGCCTTAAGGAAACGTTTCGAAGAACGGGTTCCCTCCACTCGATATCGAAAGTGCGGTTCGAAAGGAAGGCTCGTATGATGTGCACGAGCCTATCGCGCACGTTTAGTTTGTACAGCTTGTAAATCAAGCCGTCGTACCAGACCTTGTCTAACGCCTTCGCGGCATCGAAGAAAAGGGCTCCCGTGTTTCGAGACTTTTTCCTTGTCGGGTTTTGGTTGAAGCCAGACAGAATGTATTCCGTTAGGCGATGAATCTGGTGGGTGCATGAATGATTGGCTCTAAAGCCAAACTGCTCGTCTGGGAGGAGTCTGTTAGATTCGGTGTAAAGACAGAGACGCTTGTGAATAATGCGCTCGTATAGTTTACCCAAAATGTTGAGCAGACTAATAGGTCTGTAGCTAGAGGGACGATTACGCGGTTTACCTGTTTTTGGGATCCCTATTACGTCTGCTTCTTTCCAGATGTCCGGAAAGGAGCAGTTCGTGAGAAAAATGTTGAATATTCCTACAAGGAGGTAAATAAGTGGCGCCGAAAGGGATTTGATCCCCTTGTTGCTGATGCCGTCTGGCCCAGGGGCTGATCTATTCTTAAGGCTTTTGATGGTTTCGGTGACTTCATCTAATGTCACAGGATCGAGTGGTTCGCCCGCTGGTGGCAGCGCAGACCCACGTTCTACTTCCGTTTCTACCTCTAGTAGGTGAGCGGGATATGCTGGTGCGGTGGATGGCGTACACTAGTACTCCAGACTGTCGGATAGGCATTGGCGGCTTTTTCGAGATCGTCTAAGGCGAGATCAGGGTGGTCCAGCCTCACGAGAGGCGGCATCGGTGAGGATTTATCGGCTTTAAGAGCTCTCGTTAATTTTCAGAAAGCCTCTTGAGATGGTTCGATACCTTCTAAGAGGTTATTCCAGCTATCATTTCTAAATTCGGCTACTCGTTGTTTAATCTCGTTTTATAGAGAACTTACCAGAAGTTTATTGGCTTCCGTACGGTAGCAGTCATAAGTTTTAAGCGCGGAATTGTTATCTCTAATCAGCCGTCGAACACTCGCTGGCAGTTTCGTGTATTGATCGCTCGACACACGAACGTTTGACCTCGTTAAGTTTAAGTAACTTGTCTTAGACGAGGGACGGTTGTTGTCCGTCTCCATCTTTGAGCCTGATTCGGCGTCCAAAAAAACCGGGGAGGGGCCGCGGGTGGAGAGCGCAGAAGGCGCGGGGGACGCGGCGTCGTAAACTGTGTCGATGGACACAGGGGTCGATGGCCCGGTGCTCGGCGACATAGGGTCGTTGATGCGTAGTACGGGGCGTTCAGCGGTGGGCACATTACGTTGAGCTAAGAACGTAGCCCAAACGTCGGGGCACACTCGACTTAAAAAGTCGATGAGTTCGGCTATTGAGATAATCGCCATCGTGTTTAGAGATCAAACAGTCACTTGTGTATCAAGCCCCCCACCTTTCGGCGGGGGGTGTGTGCCTAAACGAACACTTATACAACTAGCGCGTTGGTACGCTAGGGTGTGTACCTGGCTGTCGCCTAATGCGACAAGCGAACACAGAATTTATACAATAGAATTGCCGACTCAGAGGCAGAGGGTGTGCAATTAACTACTTACGGTTTACAGGAAATCGGCAGAACGTGGGGTACTATACTAGCACTACACAATAGAACAATGGGCCGGCGGTCCGATGCACCTGGCGGCCGTAAAGGCGCACAACAACACTGAAGCTGTTCCGCGAACAGGTAAAAGTCTTTGTCTTCATTCTTCTTTCTTGAATAAATGCACTGGGATCGCATGGGCTCAACCGATTAACAGCACTTCGCGGTTGGGTCGCAGGCGACCGTTTGCGGCGAGGTACCTGATCGGACTGGCGGACCGGACTCGGTGGACTCGGACCAATGCCGAAGCCGCCAGAGGCGCTTCTTATATTGCATCAGTCGGTGTGTCGTAGGCACCGAGTTGATGAGAGTGTTTGTCCTCGCGGGCCCTTGGTCCAATGCGGGGCGCAAGGGACGTGGGTGCGGTGCGGGGTGACGCACATCAAACGACGAACATCTACTCGCCATTCGCAACATCCTCCCCCCCGGCGTAGTCTACGAGCCCTCTTCTCTCGGGAGGACGGCGATCTTCCTGACCGGCCTCCTCTGCAAACCGACTCTCGTCCCGATTTCGATGTTCCGTACCACTCCATCTGGTCCGGGAAAGGTCCTTGTGACGACTCCACTTGGCCACACATTCCTCGGGGAGGTTGCCGTCTGCTATGATAACAAGGTCATCTTCTTTAATATGGGGCTGCTGAGTGTTTCTAGATTCTCCTCTGAGCCCCAGGTCGGTTACCTGATACACCTCCAAAAGATATACCAGAAGTTCTTGAAATGGTAGCTGTTAAACTCGAATTAAACAAAGATGACATCTAATCCTCGTCACGACTACTCGGATCAAAAAATAAACCTGGCCCGATTCTCGTCGAAATGAAGAGTAAAGCTATTCGTAGCCGATGGATTGAAGTCAGCAAAGGAAGAACACTCACAGCTGGAGCTCTAGTACCCAACATCCCCCACGATTCCGTCGAAAACCGTGTATACTTCAGGGAAGCACTAACGAAATTGAATAAAACACTATTGTATACAGCAAAATCCCAACTG